CGTCCCTCAGTCCCTCCCGCGCTCCCCGGACCCCTCCGACTGTGCCGTGCCTCGGGGGCGGCGCGCGAAGCCTGCTCCTCCAGCCCCGGGGCCTCCGCGCCTGGAGAGACCCCAGGCATTCCTGTGCTCCCCTAACTCGGGCTCTTCTCTGCCTCTCCTGTACCCCATTCAACGCCTTACCCGAGTCTCTTCCAGAGATGACCCTTTCCCGCTCCTTTTTCCAGTTTCCATTTGCAACTTTACCTTTTTGCCTCTTTGTCCACTTTGCTTCCTCTCTCTCTCTCTCTCTCTTCCCCTTCGCCTTGCCTTTCTTTGGTCTACACAGCCCTAAACTCAGCCTGCTTCAAGCGATGTGAGGTTTGGGAAAGGCCTGGCAAAGCCTTCTTCGAGCGGCGACCCACTGCTCCGCCTCCCCTCTGTCAGTCCCTTTTAACTATGAGAAGTCGTTTTTGTGCCCGCAGTTTCCTGGCCCCCTTGTGATCGCTCGGTCCTCTCCCTCCAGGTCTGCTTCCTCCGCCCGCGGACTCAGTGAGACCCCCGCTCTCCCTGTTGGAATGAGCCCTCATTTCGGGGATTGTGAAGTTTGCTGGCGTCTTTTTTTTCTTTTTTGCTAGCCTTTTGGTGTGTGGCACAGCTGAGCCAGCACCCTTGCCTTGACGAGAGGGGAGCTCCCGGGCCTGCCTTTCCTGGCAGAGTTTCTGCTGAACGTAATCCCCGAGCCCGGGGCGGCTGCGGACGCGCCGCTGTTGCTGCTGCGCTGCTGCGTGCGCGAGCTGGGTTGGGGTTACTATAGTTCAAACGTGGTTGAGATCAGCGGGCTTGGGGGAGGAGGCGCCGGCGGAGAGGAAGGGGCCTCGGCAGTAAGAAGGCATCGGAGATTAATGGGTATCTTTGCATCGCAGTTTGCAGTAAACAGATTAGTTGGAAAGGAAAGGAGAGGACTGTGTATCTTTGCATTTTTTAAAATACGGAGCGTGCAGTTCTGAGTCTCGAATCCTGTCCAGAAGGATGAGCTGTCGGTGCTGCAAGTCGTGACCCAGGCTGAGCACCCAATGGCAGAGGTAGCTCTTTATTTCCTCCGTGTGCTCTTTAAATGGAAAGAGCCCTTGTGTTTGAGTAGACTCGTATCTTTGCCGTTTTGGAGGCGATAAGACGACAGAATTGCTACTAGTCGTGGAAATCAGATTACACAAAGTTAGCGGGCACGAGTGGGAATGGGGAGGACCAGCTGTCTTCAAAACGTGCCAGTGCTTATGTAAGAAGTACGTTCTTTTTCGTTGTCTGTCAGTTTTGGGCTGAGTTTACCTACGATTTTAGGCTCTACTTTTGCCCTTTTTTATTTTAAGGTCTTACCATCCTAGCAGATGGAGAGCCGTAAAAATCTTTCAAGATTAGTTGTAGTTGACCGTAGAATTTTTTTTTTTTTAAACTGGTTGGGACAAAGGAGGTTAATGAACAGTGATTTTTGGTTTTCTTCTTTTGTTGGGGAGAAAAGAGTGTAGAACGTTCAGTTTTAAATTTTCTATGTTACCACTTGTCTAAATTGTCAGTTTTACTTTGTCATATGTCGTTCTTATTTTTATTTTGCCTTTTTAGCGGAAAGTGTAGGAGATGGAGATGTGAGAAACTGGGGGGGGGTAAAAAACACATTTTTCATTTCTCTTTCTGCTTTAACAATTTTTCAGCAGAGACCCACTGTGACTTTGAAAACGTTTTTGTTAAGATGGTTTGTTTGCTTTTTTCATATTCAAAACTAAAGTGCTGTATTTTCCGGGAAGGGTAGAATGAGGCCCCCTGTGTTTCCCAACCTACAAATCAGTGTAGTAAACTGCACATTGTACACGCTTATAGTAGATGTTACTGTGTTTGTAAGTACTGATTGCTGTTTCCAAGCCTGGGAAAGTCATTTCTTGAAATGGTTAGCATTTAGTGAACTTTTGTTAGTAGATTTTGATTTTGGAAAGAAACATCTGTTTTTTTTTTTAAAACTGTTTTTACTGTGTAAATCATCTTTGAACCACAAAGACACATTTAATTTATGACTTAACAGAGATGTCATGTTGGAGTATTATGTCCCCGTTGTTTTTGCAGTTCAAGAAGAAAATTTGTAAATCTTACACAGGAGGTAAAACTGCACAAAATTTGTATCGTTAGTTTTAGTTGTGTCAGATCTTTAAATTTTCTTTGCTCACAGCTCTCCATATTTTCCAGGATTATTTGGTATTATTTGGGTTTTAAAAGAATTTTGATTTCTCTCCAACTTTCCGATATGCTCACCAGCCTATCTGACAGTAAATATAGGGAAAAAGTAAATTAGCCTTGAGACAAATATTATGGAAGTGTATCTATTTATGTCAGCCAAGAAGGCTCAGGTTTTTCTTTGCAGTGTAATGCAGTAATTTGACAGGTGAGTGATTTCAGGTACAGTATCTGTAATCAAGATCAGGATTTCATTTGTGTTGGTCTTAGTGTCTGGTGCCAGTTAGTATGCAGTATTTATTTGTGATAGTTACCACCTATCCTGTATAAAATATACTTTAGAAAGCTTCATGATTACAAGGTTTTGAGGAATGTGAGTTTTTTCCTATTTGATTTTCCATGTACTGTATTAAATTTGTTTCCTCTATGTCCTTACAAATAGCCAGCTGACAATGACTTGTTAAAATATTCAGATTCAAAAATAAATGAAATCTTTAGTAATACATTTATCATTAAATGGTTGTTCTTCATTTTTATGTAGAGTCATCTGTTTAGCTACATGAGTCCTGAGTTGATTGTGCTGTAGAGTTTAGGGATCTGTGTTGCTTCTTGGATCTTCTGCATTGGTAGCTTTAGGGACCTAAGGTTTTATTTTGTTTTGCTTTTTAGTGTATTTGTGAGGTTTTAGTTGGAAAATAAGAGAGAACATGTACCATTCTGCTGTTGGACTTTTGTAGTAGAGATGATCCTCTATGGATTAGGAAGATTTTTTTCCCCCCTAGCAGATACAGATTTCTTTACCGCTTTAAGAGCTACAATAAATGGTGAAAGTGGGTATATTTTAAAATAAATGCAAGAGGCGGGCTTAAAGTCAGGTGAAATCAATATAGAAAACAAGTTTTAACTTAGTAGTAGTTTCCCCCTGCCTTTATGTTACAAAACCAGAAAGGATTTATATTAGATCTAAGACATGGAAAAGGTACTTTCTCATTATAATATACTGTCAGGTATACTGTCATCTCAGTACATGGACGATTTTCATATGTATCTTGTGGATTGTGGGAATAATTACTCATATACTTTGAAATAAAATCTCAACACATCACTTTGACCACCCAAGTAAATAATATTTTCTGAAGTCATCTCAGTGGCTTAGATACATTATACTTTTCATCAGTAATTTCTTTGCTAATTCCGCCCCTATGATAAAAAATACATAGTCTTAAAAAACTTGACAAACAGAAAAAGGAATCAGCCCTAGACCTGCTATATAAGAGGATATTCTTGGGATTATTTTAGTGTATTTTCCCCCAATAGTTCTTTTTTTTTAAATATAGTTTGGCCCTAGAAGCCTCCTTAGATAGTAAACTCTGTGGAAGCTCAAGATCTGTATATCAAGTGGCATATAACCTTTGCACAGCTCCTGTGTATTTTTAATTATCTCCAGATTACTTAGGATACCCAGTGCAGTGTCACTGCTATGTAAATAGTTGATATGCTATATTGTTGGGCGAGTAATGTAAACAAAATAGTCTGTACATGTTCAGAACAGACATAATTTTTTCCCTAATATTTTTGAACTGAGTTTGATTCAGTCCACAGATGCAAAACCTATAGTGGTAAAAGGTTGACTATAATGTCAAGAATTTACAGTTCAGTTTTCTGAAAGGTGCAGGTAGTTTGCAATAAATGTTAGATATTTGAGTTTTCAGTGCTTTTTTTTCCCCTCCCTTAGGGTATGGCTGTTTGGTTTTCATTATCATAATATTGTTTTCATTTGTGGGAAAACTATTCAAAGTTCTTGGGCCTTGTTCCTTTTATTTTACTTTATTGAACTCAGGGTCTCACATTTGCTAGGTAGGCGCTGTACCACTGAGCTACATGGCTGGCCTTGGGCTTTGTTCATTTAATGTAATCAGAATTACAGATTTCATCCATAAAATATTATATGTCATTGGTAGTTGTATACCCACGTCTCACATTGGGTTATGGAAATTATTGATACGTGATCATAAAATTGTATTAGTGGTGTATTCAGTTGAGCTGTTGTTGGGTTTTAACTGTCTGACCTAGGAAGTTAAGAAAATTGAAGGGTGAGATGGAAAATACTGGCAAATATTTAACCATAGCATAGAATCTGTCTTTGTAATTTTCTTCAGAAATACATGTATTCATTTATTCTGTAACATCTAAAATTACTGCCGAAGCTGGAAATGAGTTTAGTTTTCTCAGCAGAATTCTTAAGAGGATATTGTCAAAGCCAGCAAACCAGAATTCTTTACTCTTAAATTGTCCTTTACTTTTGTTTATACCACACTCTTAAAATTGTTTGGATTAATCTGCAGCTTTACCATGTAAAGCACTATCGCACTGAGTTGTCCTTTCAGGATCCTGATCGCCGCTTTTTTTTTTTCTTATCACCATCTGATGAAAGATCTTGCAGATTCCGTGCCTGACTTCATTCAGGCTACATCCCAAGCCCTTTTTAAATTTTAACATTTTATTTTGAGACAGGGTCTTAAGGCCCCTAGGCCACCCTTGAACTTTTGACACACTTACCTCATCCTTCTAGTAGCTGTTGTACCTGGCTAGGTTTATTTTTTTATTTTTTTTTGTGGGTATTTCAGATTTAAGACTTTAATAATTCAAGGAAACAATATTGTAAATGTTTCTTCTACCTGTGTCTTCATTGAGAGTTCTCTGAATTGTAAATCAAATATTTCAGCTTTGATTATAAGTGAATAAGAAGAATAGAGTATAAAATGGCTGCAAGCTAAGTGTGGATTTGTAAAACTTTTTGAATAGGTGTTTTCATTTAGCAGGTATTTAAGATTTACTCTTTTTAGAAGCCATGTAAATGTCAATCACACAATTGAATTTTTTTCGTATTTCGTTGGACAAAAGTTAAAAGTATTCTTATGGGGCATATTGTTGGTGAGTATATTTGGAGTTAGTAGCTTTTTAAAATAAGTTTTGCAGTCTGATCATTTAATCAAAGTGATCAATATGGGCAGACTGAGAGTGTCAGTGCAAAACCAATACAAGGCTTATTTCATAAATACCTAAAAATAGATGTGGCTAAGGAGTTTTAATATTTGTGTGATATATAGCATTGCATTAGATACATAAGATATTTAAAGGTAGCTTGAGTTATTTTTTTTTTAACATAACTATGTTTTCTGAATTTTAGGTCTGTTCCACGAAAAAGCAAAAACCAAACAAAGCAAAAAAAAAATGGCTGCGAAGGAAAAACTTGAGGCGGTATTAAATGTGGCCCTGAGGGTGCCCAGCATCATGCTGTTGGATGTTCTGTACAGATGGGATGTCAGTTCCTTTTTCCAGCAGATCCAAAGAAGTAGCCTCAATAACAACCCTCTTTTCCAGTATAAGTATTTGGCTCTTAATATGCATTATGTAGGTAAGTATCTACATCATGTTTTCTAACCATATTGTGAATATTATGATTTATTTCTTTAGGTATTTCTGAATTTGGGTAAAATGAGTTTCATTTACACTGAGGTGACTGGTAGTCATTAATGAGTGTATATGGATGTTACTTATAGATTTATTTGTCTTATCATTGCATATGAGATATTAAGAGTATTAAAGATAGTAGGTAGTATTTTATTGACTATAACTGGATGCAGAAGATAACATTTTAGCTTTTAATATGATGAAATATGAATACTGAGAAGTATTTTTCCAGGCTTTTGGCTGCTTCTCATTTGTCCTTAAAGTTCAGTTCAGTAGTGGGAAAAAGTAAGATTTTTTAAAAGTGCAGTATTCCTTGTTCCCTGAGACAAACTAAAATGTTAATTCCAGTTGAAAATAAAGTGTTCGTTTCCATGTTTTCATCCGCTTGTCCAGTGAGTGACACTAAAATCTGTTTAAATATACAGTGTATCTCATAGCTGAATCTACCAACTCCTTACCTAAAGGTACTGTTTTAATCTAGGACCCCATTTTTCTCTAGTACTATCTTACATTAAATAGTAAAAATTATTAGATTGATCAGTGTTGCTTTAAGCAAGTCTCCATTTTTAAATGTTTTAACCATTGGGTTAGTTTCATCATTATTGGCTTTTTTATAGACAGCTCTGCAGAATGAATAGTGAGCCATACTCATTCAAAACTCAGATTTTGAGTAAAAGTGAGTAGAATTTTAGGGAGTAAAAGCAGTTGAGGTTACCTTGTTAAGGGAGAAGGAAAGGAGCAGTTTGTACTTGTTCAATATGAGAACATGGGCCCTAAGGCATCATGACATAGAGAATGTCCACTTAGAAATGAGGATGTGTTTTTGTGATTGTTGTATGAGCTTTGTAACTATTTGCAACACATATATGGGATGATAGCAATATTAAGAGAAGTAGAGTAAATTCTGACAGATCCTTTATAGCGAGAGAAGCTGTTGTTTAGTGACCAAATTTCCCTTGTTCTTTAGAGAAAATGAAAAACAAGTAGAGAAGGAAAGACATTAGAATATAAGAGGAAATCTGTATCAGAGAGCCAAAGAATAATGGGGTTTAGCGGGTTTTTGCCTCAGCTGGTAAGACTTGTCTTAGTCAGCTTCCTTGCCACCAGGACAAAATACCAGACCCTGCAACTTGAAGAGAGGTTTATTGTGGCTCATGTTTTAGAAGTTTCAGTTCTTGCATAGTCAAGTGTTGTGGAAGGGCCTAGGTGGAGGAAAGCTGCCCACTTCATAGTAGAGCGGGAGCTAGCCAGGGGAGAAGATAACATCCCATTAGATAGTGCCCCCAGGGACCCACCTCTTCTGACTAGGCCCTAGCTCCTAACTCCATGTTTAGCTGCACACACACACACACACACACACTCTCTCTCTCTCTCTCTCGCTCTCTCTCTCTCTCTCTCTCTCTCCCTCTCCTCCGTACCCATGTAATCACCTTCCTCAAGCTCTGCCTTTGAACCCATGAGGCCATAGGGGACATCTAGATACAAACCATAACATCGAGGGTAAGAAGGATGGTTTATATAAGATGAGTGGGCTGTTTTTGACTTCCAGGTTTCCTTAGAGTATAAGAAAAAAGGGGATTTGTAGATTATGGAAGAGAAAGAAGGAAATAGATGATTACAAATTAGAGGCAATGGGTACAGATAATTTGAAAAAAACAGGATATCACTGAAGAGAAGTGTTTGTGTTTTCACAATGGGGAAAAGCCCTGTACGTTCTTTGAAACAAATGAAGTGGTGTTAGATGGGATGATTTGAAAATTTAGGAGAGAGAAAATCCGAAGTTAAGAGAAATAAGATCTTGAAATCAAATAAAAGGGGCAGTCTTTGAGAGACCCAATTTTTGCTGTGCCACTAGAGAGTGAGAAAATTGGTGTAAAACAAGAAGTTGTTGAGAAAAACTAGATAGAGGAGTCATGTTATAATTTTCTATTCTGTATTTGAGTATAGAGTTTAAAAATTTACACAAAAAGTACCAAATGCTAAAACATCTCAAACAACAAAAAAAAAAATCCATAATGATTTTCCTGTGCTCAATGAGCCATATTTTGGGGGGAGTTACTGGGGATTGAATTCAGGACCTTGTGTTTGCAAGGCAGGCGCAGTACCACTGAGCTAAATCCCATGAATGAGCTTTGATAGTGATATAAAATGTAGAAAACCTTAGAAGTTGAATCCTAAATGCAGAATAATCTACTTCAAGCTCTTTCTGGTGTAGTTAGTTGAGAGGCTGAGTTAGAATTGTATGTTATTTATATTTCTTAATTTCTACTACAGGTTATATCTTAAGTGTTGTGTTACTGACCTTGCCCAGGCAGCATCTGGTTCAGCTTTATTTGTATTTTTTGACTGCTCTGCTTCTCTATGCTGGACATCAAATCTCCAGGTAAGTGTGACTACACATTAGAATATGTGAATGAATTTAAACTTTTCTTTTGTCAATAAAATACTTTTCATAAATGCTGTTAAGAAGTTAAGTTTTTGGCAGGTATCCAAAACCCATTTGTTAATACTTATTTTTTAAGTAAATTTGGGGTTATGTTCAAATTTTGTTTTTGCATAAAAGCAAGCTTAATACTAAACAAGACTGAAGGTTGTATTTGAAGATACTTTCTGCTTTTCTGTATTACCCGAGAAAAGAATTTCTTTCTTTTTTTTTTTTCTTTCTTTTTATTGAGGTTACTGGTACAATCTAGGTATACAATACAATTACATTCATCATTGGGATTCTGTACCTTTACATAATAGGTCTTGATTCTCATTTTTCCCCTTGTCCCTGCCCTCCCTTCACCGTCTCCTCCCCTCCCCATTTACAAACATTTTATTTCCATTTTTCAGTTTCTCATATTTTTTTTCCTCTCCCTTATTACCTTTCCCCCACCCTTCCCACTTTCCTTACACCTTTAGCCCTTTACTTCCTATTTCACATTATTAATTGTCTCATTAGGATCCTGTGTACTATTACAGTTTTTCACACCAAAGAAACTATTCGGTATTTCAGTCAAAGAAATCTCTGTATGAACATTAAAAATAGGGAATCCTAAAATAAAACTAAAAAGGAAAGTAAAAGAGAAAAGGCAAGGATGTAACATCAAAATAATCCTTAGTTCTGGAGATGAAAATGGTCCCTGAACATATTTAAATTGCTTCTTGCTCTTATAGTCTTATCTTATTATTTTTTCATTATTTAGAGAATACTTTATTAGTTTCTGTAATCAAACCCACGTAGATATGACCTTACATATTTAGTACGATGTGTTACCCCTGTACACAGGGAAAAAATAAAAATAAAAAATAAAAATAAATTAACATTTCTAGACCAATATGGTTGTCCATTTCTGTACAATGCCAAGTCCACACAGTAAATTGGGATGACGTTTTCCAAAGTTGGCAGCACCGTTGAAGTTTCCCAAAATTCAATTTATATATGTGTGTGTGTGTGTGTG